GATTCATGGTTTAAGCTCAATCTTCTGTTCTCAGAACGATCTGAGTTTTGCAAAAGGTAAATGTTCTTGTACTAAATAATTTGCATAACACTAGAGGACATATAACGTATTTTTGTGAATCCGAAGAAGTTACTTTTTGGTTTGTGCATTATTTGATGTCAATACAATAATACAGGTTTTATAGTGTCTGCTGGAAAGTTTATTATATGATTTACATGGATTGGACAAGTCAATTTTTTTCAATTCAAATCACTAAAGTTAATACAGCTAAAGACTCCAGAGGGGATAAAATATTAATAAATTAATTAAAATAAAAACTCAATGAAATAGCAGTTTGGGTTCAGTACTTTCATCATCTATTTCCTTCCTTTGAATATGTGTATATTTTTTCAATTTCTAAAGAAACTTGATTTAAAAATATCACAAAAGCATCTGGTTCATAGATTGATTTATTGTATGTTGTTTAACGTCCCTCTCGAGAATTTTTCACTCATATGGAGACGCCACCACTTGCCGGTGGAGGGCTACAAATTTTGACCTATAATCGGCACTCAGGGCCATTTAGGGCCATTTAGCAGTGAGGGATCTCTTTCGTGCCAGCACCTACTGCGACACGGGACCTCGGTTTATACGGTCTCATCCGAAGGACCGGTCTCCACGTCCATAGAAGTTACGAGATGAATCCATCTTTGAAATTAGAGCTAGAATTTTAAAATGTAAATCATTCAGATAAGTGATTCTCAAACAACATAATTATTAGATCTTTAATATGTTATGATGCGAATTTTAAATATCAAACTTTACCCCCCCCCCCCCTTCCCGACATAATTAGATCAACCACATATCTGTTAAATGTTGCTGAGTTATAATTCATAGACTAACAAATAATAATGGAAGGAATGTGTCAGTTTATCTTATATTGTGTGTTTATGGATATAATTATTGTTTTTAATTTATCTTTTTTTTTTCGTTTCCTTTTATTATCAATTTTATAGGCATACTTCTGGACTATTACATAACAAACTCAGATAGCTGCTTTGTACTGGAGAAAGCACAATAAATTGGTCAAAGGGTGTTTAACCGAGATAATCAAGGATAAAATGGAGCGTTTCTAAATTAAAAAATCAATATCATAATGTTACGGTTTGCATAAAATTCAAACGAAAAGGACTGCAGGCTCTGACCGAAAATGCATTTAAACTCAATTCGGTAAATATCTTACGAAATCAGAAATAAACCATACAAATGAAATCATCCTTGATTTTCTCAAAATGTTTCTGGTGTATACTTAGATAAAATTCAACTTAAGAACAATCTCGTAGAAATTTGCAATTCAAATACTTATCCGCACACCCACGATTATTTAAATGCTTGGATAATACGTAATATATTTTTAAAAATCAATGAGAGAGAGAGAGAGCGAGAGAGCTATTTGATCTGGGTAGTTCTGGGGTTTCTGAATTAAAAAGAAATGTGATATTATAATTTGTTCAAATGAAAACGTTACCGAAACAACAGTTTTAACAAGCGGGGATTTTTTTTTTGGGGGGGGGGGGGAGGGGAGAGGGGTTTAATTTCTTTAAAAAAAAATTTTGTGGCCCACGAACCTTTTATGTAGTTAAATTCTTTACCAGTCTAGAAGAATTCAATGAAGCTTTAATCTGATTCTGAAACCATACTCTACATCTACAGGACGCTAAAAAATGATTTGACTTCTGCATAAAATGTTAGAGGAGTTTGAAGAAGAGAAAAGTGTGAAGGATGGATCAGGATAACGGCAACATACCTGGATTTTCTTTAGAAGGTCCTGGTATTAAAAAAACTTTACATATACATGTACATTTAAAAAGAACCAAATCTAAGTGAAGGTAACTTTGCAAAAGACCAATGCACGTATATATAGATTGAGAGGTTAAAAACTACAAACGCTACATAATCACAAAGCAGACATTTTATGTTCTCTCTCTCTCTTCCTCTCCCTTCCTCCACTCTCTCTCTGTATACATGTATATATAATTCATTGTAACCAATGCATTTTTGCAAGTTAACTGGTATAGCATAGAATTTGATCTATATATATCTTAGGCCAAGATTTAAGAAATAAAATTTGATAAGTATTGATCTTTACGGGGAAAATAGCAAAACACAAAGACATAGAAAGACATTAAAGAACTGAATAAGTGAAATTCAGAGACAGTTTTTAAGCACTGAGAGGAATAATCAGAAAAAAATATAATTCTTTGCTTTTTTACTCATTTTTCTCTGACAGTAGTGTTCTAACGAAAACGAGAGAGAGAGAGAGAGAGAGAGAGAGAGAGAGAGAGAGAGAGCAATCATACTTTATAATTTAACTTAATTCTTGGTTTGCCTGATATTTTCACAATATGATCAATAGAGCCTCATCCAAACACCAGAACCCCTGAACCAGAGGCCATGAATGAATCATTCTAGTGGAGGATTCAATGTTTATTATAGTAATGCTATAATATTGGTTATAATCGTCATAATCAAGTTTGAATGCTTGATGTGTAGGAGTAAAGAAAAATACTTTTGAAGATCACAGGCGGGTATGGACCTCTCCCCCCCCCCCCCCCCCTTTTCCATTTTTTTTTCTTTTTAAATCTGGGATCTAGTCACCTTTTTCCTATTTTTGTATTCTAATATGCACTATACGTTATCGATAATGTAACCCTTTTGTCTTTATAAGCTGTTTTTAAATATACCGTTTTCGACTGGTGCATAAAAAGAGAGAAGGCTTGCAACTCTTTTCTCGTCGTCTGCCTCACCTCGCTTAAACTTCGCGTGATTATTTATCAAAAGCATAAGAAAACATGGCATATGCATACATCAATAAATTTGTTATACATTCTTCTTCCTTCTCATATTTCCATTTAATTTTTATGTGCCCCCGATTTGTAAATATTTCGATTAAATCATCCGCATCTAGAGTAAATTTTGTTGGTGTGCACCAGCTGGGACGGAAGTGCCCGGTATTTTCGGGCATCATCATTATGTGTAATGCCATTCGGAACATTAAATGCGAGACGGAAAACATCCCGAATTTTCTCTTCAAAATTAACGGTAAGTTCTGTGTATATAACAAGGTATAACTGTAACTAGCAGTTTCTGATGGATGAAGATTAACATTTAACATACGACTCAAACAACCAAATTTCACAAAATTTTTATTACAAGGCCGGAATTTTTTTTTAATGCAGAACAATTGTAAAGTTGGAGTTACCGTTATTGCACTTCCGTCCCAGCTGGTGCACACCAACAAAATTTACTCTAGATGCGGATGATTTAATCGAAATATTTACAAATTGGGGGCACATAAAAATTAAATGGAAATATGAAAAGGAAGAAGAATGTATAACAAATTTATTGATGTATGCATATGCCATGTTTTCTTGTGCTTTTGATAAATAATCACGCGAAGTTTAAGCGAGGTGAGGCAGACGACGAGAAAAGAGTTGCAAGCCTTCTCTCTTTTTATGCACCAGTCGAAAACGGTATATTTAAAAACAGCTTATAGAGACAAAAGGGTTACATTATCGATAACGTATAGTGCATATTAGAATACAAAAATAGGAAAAAGGTGACTAGATCCCAGATTTAAAAAGAAAAAAAAAATGGAAAAGGGGGGGGGGAGGTCCATACCCCAAGTGCCTGTGTTGAAGATGGCATTAATTTTGATTGTTTTGGCCCCACCCCTCAGGCCCCAGGGAGACAGAGACAACAAAATTCACAATTTATCTTCCTCTTTACCCATAGATGGTATTACCAAAATTGGTTAAAATTTGTTCAGTGATTATGAAAAGAAACTGAAAATTTTCAGAAGGACGACACACAACGACACAACGACGGACAAAAGGAATATAGCAAAAGGTCACCTGAGTCACTCAGGTGACCTCATAAAATACTTGAAAGGAAAAATCAGTAATCATTTTTTCATATTCAGCTTGATGTAGCGGAAAATTACCTGTGGAGTGCAAATGTACTTGACAGTATCTGAGATGATTAACATCATCTCTCTGTTCAGGGGAGATTTAAGCTATCATATGACAAAAATCATAATTAAGAGAAAGACAAACGAGGATTGTGAGGACTTTCTAGAAATGTATTTTAACATTATCGAGAGAAAAATATTTTTTTTCTGACAAGACGGCTATGAGGCCAACGAATAACACGCTATATCTGTAGATGTGGAGCAAATCGAAGTTGATAAGCTTCCGTGTCTGAAAGCTAGTGATCACTTTCTATGGTATGTGTTCGTGATGATCACTTTCTATAGCACGTGTTCGGATTGACTGATTCAAACGAGGTGTCAATGGTTATGTTGACAGTGATTTTTATTTAGAAGAGGAATTATTTTTGAACTCGTTAAGATCTAACATATTAATTACTTTCCTTTATTAACGTGATAGATACAGTATTTGCTGATCTAAGAATGTCTACAAATCTGAAAACAAGGCATTAATTTTTTAAGTGAAATGGAAGAAATGTTCATGAAAAATAAAAAAAAAGTAAAATTATTTTGAAAACATTTAGAAAAAGTTTTGATTTGAAAAAAGCAAGTCTTTCAAAATTAAGATTATAATTTTCGCATGATTTTTTACTTACAGTGGAATTAATTTGGTGCAATGGGATTAATTAAGTGCATTAACAATTACTTTCACGAGCAATTGAAAGTAAGAATTGAGCAAATATCATGTACATTTTCAAGTTATTCATAAACGAAAGATATAAAACTATAATATAAAATCATGAAAATTGAATGCCCAGAAAGTAGTATGGATATTTTTTGTTAACCTTTTTCTTTTTAAAACATTCCGTAGAATAAATGTCATGATAATAAAAGAATTTCTATAACTTTCAGTCACCTTTTAATATACATTAGAAAGTCAATTCATAATTAAGATATTTTTTGGAAAATATAGACATATTTATTACAAACCAATACAGAATACTAAAAAAGTATGAAGTTCTTATTCGCTTACCTTCCGCCATCCTAGCAGTCTTCTATACTAATCTCCATTCCCCGATATGGATTTAAACATCCAGAAGAAACAACCGCTCAACTTGGCGTATTGATCCCTTTGCACGTCTGCTGCTACAGTTCTATTTAAAATAGTTCCATCAAATACCAGATTTCTCTTTCTCTCTCTCTTATATATATATATATATATATATATTTATAAGGTCACGGATGGAAATTTATATGAAACTCTAAAAATGACCAACGACACGTACAATTAAAAATTGTCTATTTTTCGGGACGCTTTGCCCCTTCCTCAGGAAATAGAAGAGGTTAAAAAGTCATAAAAACAAAGCAGAAGAAAACAAAAAAACATCTAGCACTACAACTAAGACACTAAACTATATTTATTTACAGTTTTACATTATGAATTTTAAATAAATAGAGCTTAGTACTTAGTTGTAATGCTAGATGTTTTTTTTCGTTTTCATCTGTTTTGTTCACATCACTTTTCTACACCTTATTGCAACCATTCCTCACGATAAATTGAAATCTAGGCTTTTTATGCCATACAGATAACTGCTTCTTTAATAAAAATGTATCTCGGAAATTTTCATGTCTTGTGATTAGTCATTAGGAAACTTCCTTTTTTTAAAAATTACTCTGATTCTACACACAAGTACCCCGAAGTTGATAGTAAATTGAAGCTGGAGTTTCTCATTGACAACATCTTCGTAGTCTTTAATGGAGACCATGTCTTCCAAAAAATTGTTGGAATTTCGGAGGGAACTAATTGTGCTCCTTTATTAGCCGACCTATTTTTATATTTCTTTTAAGCAGAATAAATTTAAAAACCTCTACAAGAGAAGAAAACACTTACTCTGGCCTCAACTCCACATTCAGATATATCGACGACGTTACTATCAATTTGAAATAGTTTCTTCCATTCATTTGTCGACTCAATATATCCCACTGAACTCGAAATAAAAGATATCACAGAGTCTGCAACTTCTGTTTTATAACAGAACAGAACAGACGACGTTACTATCAATTTGAAATAGTTTCTTCCATTCATTTGTCGACTCAATATATCCCACTGAACTCGAAATAAAAGATATCACAGAGTCTGCAACTTCTGTTTTATAACAGAACAGAACAGACGACGTTACTATCAATTTGAAATAGTTTCTTCCATTCATTTGTCGACTCAATATATCCCATTAAACTTGAAATAAAAGATACAACAGAGTCTGCAACTTCTGTTTTATACTTGGATGCTTTACTGACTATAAACGATAAGGGCCAACAGAAAACTAATTTGTATGACAAGTGAGATGACTTCAGCTTTTCCATTGTCAACTGTCCTTATTTATGTAGCAATATTCCTCTGTCACCTACATATAAAGTTTACGTCTCCCAACTTATTCGATACTCAAAAGAGTGCTCTGAATACGATCAATTCTTAATTTGAGGCAGGTTACGGACAGATAAGTTGATGTTACGGGGATTTCAACAACCTCATTTTAACTCAGCATTTTGTAAATTCTATGGTCGTCACAATGGCCTTGTTAGCACAGTTAACCTATCATTGCGTCGTATTCTGACTGACATATTTCATACCAATTGTTAGGCCTTTGTTTTTATACTAAATTTGACTCCGGATTATTCCGTATACCTGATCATTACACAGGGTTCACAACGGGTGTGACCAGTCGACAGGGGAAGCTAACTCCTCCTATAGGCACCTGATCCAACCTCTGGTGTTTCCAAGGGTCAGTGATTTTGCCCTGTTTACAATTCATATTGTTTACTGGATTTATGATTGAACACTGTTGTTATCTTCACCTTTTTAATATATATATATATCTTTGAATTCATGTAATGCTAGCAATAAGAGATGCCAATAGATCTGCATTACATATAATGCTACTGTAATGGATTACTTTCCTAAATCTAATGTAATACTGGCATTACTCGGCATTACAATGTATTTTTTTGTAAATTAGTTTTCTTTGATTAAAAAAAGAATTCAAAATGGATATGGTAATCATTGTTAAGATTTAAAGATCTATTTCAATTGATAAAAATAAACAATTAAACTTATTGAAATGAACTTGGCTTATATATATATATATATATATATATATATATATATATATATATATATATATATATATATATATATATATATATATATATATATATATGATATTCAATGTTTTGTTGTTGGATATGAAATTTATTTCACGAGTGGGACAAAATTTTTAGATATTTTCACGAGTGCGAAGCACGAGTGAAAATATCGAAAAATCCTGTCGAAAATCTTTAATAATTGGGCAACCAGAAGTTAGAAGGTAATTCCCTATTCCCTATTGACTAAGCGAATGGCGAACCGCATGCTGTGGCCGGTTCCCTATTCAAATTACCGTAAGTGTCCTAATAATTTAAAAAAAAAAAAAAAAACTTGAATAACTCATTATAATGCACGTTAAAGAATCGAATCAAAGACTTCACTTAAAAAAGAAGAGAGAGGACCCCAAACCAGTGAAGCTAGCCTGACCAAAATGAAGACAATGGATATAATACAATTAATGGGTTAACCTTGTGTCAGAAACTGACTAATATCCTGGATCCCATATTTTGACCTTCATCTTTTTACAGGAGAAGGGTCTGGGAGGGACTCCTTGACTGTCAAAAGGAATTGAGGTTACAAGAGCGGTAACCTATTTACCTAGCCCGGTCAAAGTTGGGAAAAAACCGTATAATACAGTTATAAGATTACATAGTTCTAAGAACTGTGTAACATCCTGGATCCCATATTTTGACCTTCATCTTCTTACAGGAGAAGGGACCGGGAGGGACCCCTTGACAGTCAAAAGGAATTGAGGTTACAAGAACGGAAACCTGTCTAGCTAGCCCGGTCAAAGTTTGGGAAAACTCGTATAGTATAGTTATAAGAGTACATAGTTCTAAAGGCTGGCTAACACCCTGGATCCCATATTTTGACCTTCATCTTTTTACAGGAGAAGGGACTGGGAGGGACCCCTTGACTGTAAAAAGGAATTGAGGTTACAAGAGCTCTAACCTATTTAGCTAGTCCGGTCAAAATTGGGAAAAACCCGTATAATACTGTTATAAAAGTACATAGTTCTAAGGGCTGGCTAACATCCTGGATCCCATGTTTTGACCTTGATCCTTTTACAGAAGAAGGGCCTGGGAGGGATTCTTTGACTGTCAAAAGGAATTGAGGTTACAAGAGCGGTAACCTATTTAGCTATCCCGGTCAAAATTGGGAAAAACCCGTATAATACTGTTATAAGAGTACATAGTTCTAAGGGCTGGCTAACATCCTGGATCCCAAATTAAAATAGGTCTTTTTCTCGTCATAATTCAGCTTTTAAACTTTATAAAATTTTCAATCCTATTTCACAGCTTTTTAATGACAATCACACCATACTTTATCTTTAATCAATTGATAGATCATTTTGATATTCATAAGCGAGTTCTTCACTTACAATACCTGGTAATTTGAAGTATGTTTTACATTGTAAAAGGCGAACAGAAGTTCACACTTGCATTGATTAGAAATAATCGATTTTCCCCTCCTCTGTTTTGTGTTCTCAGATATTATATTGCGACAAAATTTTCTAATGAATCTAAGGTAATGATGTAGGTAAGAAGGTAACTCCACTCCAGGAATTAACAAGTGACATAGATGAATAATAATCTTTTGATTGGTTGTAAATTGGGGTAATGGTGGCCCGCGTCTGTTTTCGATTCGCTGTAAAACCTACTTAAGAAAAGATATTAATGCCAATTGTTGGCCACTGCAGGAAGCTTGATTAGAGTGGTGGTATATGTTATTTCTTTGCACTGTGTTTGATTGATTGGAAGTGTCCTTAAACTCGCTGTACAGAGCTAGAGAAGTGAAAAAAATCGGATCATATGCGATTACAAGTTCTGAAGAGATATCATTTTCTTTTATATGGCATCTATCCTCAGAAATGACCTTGAACCTAACCAAATCTATTATTCCATCTAAGTCAGAATATTGTCGCGCCAAAGATTTTTCTAGGATACGGTATGTTATCTTTCAACGAAAGGGCTATGGTTCATGTTTGCTGAGATTTTGTCCCCCGAGATGTTGAAGACCTTGAACAAATCATGAAGAGTTCATTCTCATATTTTGTTTTTTAATGAATTTAATGCTGCTCCATTTATGAATTGGCTTAGGTACATGTTAAAGAACACAGTACATGTTCAGAATGACAGGAGTTCCTGGTGGAAACACAGTTTAATGTTGTGTATTGTGTTTTTTTCAATAGTGGTTGCAACAATGCAGTGTTCGGGTATGGTGTTATGTCGAGTGCTAGGGTAAGGATTTGGTTAACGCACATTACATACATGTATTCCTTATTTATTTCCTGTGTTACTTAATTTCAATGAATAGATATCCTTAAAGGGAAAAAAATAATGATGTAAAACTACGCTCAAGTCAATATGTCGGAATACGCTTTCTTCTAAAACTGAAATAATTGCACTCAGCACGCATCTATGCCATTAACACAAATTACGAAGTATTGCTGAAGACACGGATTACATGACAGATTAGCAATTCTCGGCTCAAATCATCAACAAGATGTTGTATGTTTGGATGAATTTATTTTTGTGTCGTCTTCGTAGCAGTAGCAGAGGATAACATTGCCTAACTTCTGTCGGTCTGTCCGTTGTTGTACAATGGTTTTTTCCCTAGCGACTCTACTGGCTACATAGCACTCCCCTGAAAACTGGCTATATAGTAGGCCTTCCAACATAGAAAGCTAGCTATAGAACGGGGTTCCCCCCTTTTTTAGCCCTATTACACCGAGGGAAAACCTCCTATACATATGGCATTTCTTGCTTCTGTCCATTCGGATTAAATTTTTACGAAGGTTCATTCCTTGCAGTATTTCACAATAATTGAGAAGACACTATTTTTTAATATTGTATAAGAATTACTAATATAAGAAGATGCTCTATTATAACGATTTTGAACCTAAGAAGGATAGTCTGTGGTATGTATAAGAAGGATAGCCTGTGGTATGTATAAGGAATCAGTAATCTTTAAAGAAATACAAAATATCATGCTTTGAAATTCAATAAAAT